GCGGCTGGGCTTATTAGCCGTGGGCTTAATAGCCGGCGACTACTGTATTAACTCTCTCATACAAAAGGACATGATTAATGTACACAAGGTCTTTGAACTCTCGGCCAAAAGACAGATGGTTTAGGCTGAACGTTTAGAGAACGTGAAGTTGCGTTCTAACGTTTTTCCTTTCCTGCTCTGCTGCATTATATACTTTTGCTCTTCTTCTCCTTCGCCCTTCTTCTTGAGGGCCTTTTTGCGCGACTAGCAAAGCAATTTAGTATGATTCACAAACTTTAGAGTGCCCTAAAGATTTCTGTCCTAAATTTTTATGAATTGTGTCGCTTAAAATATTTGTTTTTTGTTTCTTCCCCCCCCTAGAATGTTTTTTTCTACCCTGCCGGACTACATCGACCTGGAATCATTGTTCGACATCAACCGACGCATTCGGAAGGAGGATTTTCTCAGTGTGATGCATTTTGAGGATGCGAATCCGAAGAAGTTTAGGGGAATAATTCAACGGTGTATACGTGTTATGGAGGAATATGGACCGTGGTGCGCTGACATGGTAGGCTTTAAAGTACTCTTTTATCTGACCGGCAACCCATTGAGAGTCCTAGTGGTTTAGTTGGAGTAGAATTATACAGGGAGGGACTGTCCACAATGTCCTAACGCCACCGAAACCTATAAAAATGATGAGACTAAACATGCTTACTACTATTAAATAAGTAGGCAGTTTTGTAAGTGAATATGTCTTACTGTTACCTAGGCTATCCACGAGGGTCTGCAGGTGATCCTTATACAGGGTGTCCCAAAAAAATGCATACACATTTCCCCATAATTGTAAAATTGTTGTTTATCATACTTTTAAAAATGTAAAAATATTTACATGGATCATTTTATTGTATTTTTTACTAAATGTTCTCAAACTGACGTCCATATTGATAATGACACCGCTGACAACGCGACGCAATGGAACCGCACACATCATGCAACAATCCCCTTGATTGAAGCGAGCCAAAATAGCAGAATTTATTTGCGCAAATAAATTTTGAGAGCGCTTATCAACTGCGTCCGCTCTGTGCATGTTTAACGAAACATTTAGAAAACACATCATTTTGAATTTTTTTACAAATTCGATAATAGAAAGTTTGTGTTAACGTGGCAAATGTTCAATAGTCATGTCAACTTCAAACTTGGGACGAAAAGTTGGGAGGAGAATTAACAAAAATAAAAGTGTGGTATGTATTTACCAGGGCAATTGAAGATTAACTACATGGTCTAGTTGCTTACATAGGTCGGGTTTCTCCCGCCGTATGTAGGATGCTTTCATGTAACATAAGGTCCGGTTTGTTCATGCTCGAAAAAGAACGCGGAAAGATGTGTTAGTGTCAACGAAGTGACCACCGTCTAATAGGTATTTTGTAATAGATGACCGTGGTACTTTGTTCTCTTGTTTTAAAAGCCAAGCA